GATATCTTTCAGACGGTCCTGGGCTGCCTCAGCATCGGCCTTATACTGGGCCACCATCTTGTCGGCATTAGCTTTGGTTACTTCAACCATAGACTTGGCCGCTTTAAGCTCCTTGGCAAGGGTCTCTCGATCAAAAATAGTCGAGCTTAGCTGAGGCTGGAGCTCCTCGATCTTTTGGGACCGTTAGCCTTTTCCCTCATCGCTCGAAGCTAGGCCTCCGTCGAGGTCAACTGCGCCCGGGCAATATCCTTTTTTGAGGCCAGACGGTCCATCTTGCCTCTCCACTCTTCGGCCTCGACCTTGGCTGCATCCATCTCAGCTCGAAGTTGGTCGATCCGATCAATGTTCTGTTGGACCTATGGGTTCCGACCATTAGTCACCTTGTCTAGCTCATCGTCACTAACTTCAAAAAATTTTACCTGTTCAACCAGGTCGGCGTGTTCTTTCTGAGCCGCTTCTAACTCATCTCAAAGGCTATTAGCCTCTCCTTCACTATGCTCGCTGAGAAGTTTATACGTGTCTCTCTTCTCAGTAAGATCTCCGACTTCGGCTTCGAGTTGGTTCAGCTCATCTCGATACCGGAGGAAAGTTTCGTGGTGAAGCACCGAGGCCTACAAATACGAAGAAAAATGTTAGGATTATCCATGAATTAGTTCAAGTATAAGAGGAAAAATTGAAATCATCGAGAGTTATTTATAGTTACCCGGTTCAACGCCTTTTGTGCTTCGTTGAATAGGCAGGGCTCGTCTACCTCGTTGATTTTGGCTTGGTCTTCTTCGGTCATAAGGCACCGAAGGTAACTGGACACCCCTATGGGGGCGGAAAGGACCCAGGCATCCTCTGGAACATTGATAATGATAGACCGCTTACGATTAGGATCCACACTCGGGGCAGGGAATCGGTTGATTAGTTTCGGGATCGAGTTAGGCCCACTTGCCCCCGAGTACGGACTTTTTCTTGGTACCTCTATGTCACCCAATCCGGTGATGTCTTCTGTGGCGGTGGAATCCATGCCATCAAAAAAGCAGCGGAGGGGGTCGTCTGCTCCGTGGGCCCCCTCGTTGGAGTGCTCTTTGATGTCAATCACACCGAGTGCCTCCTTTGGGGCACTGCCGTATCCCGGGAAACCTCGGCCGCAGTCTCCTCATCGCCTTCCCTGGCTTGAGGAAGATCCGCCTCACTAAACTCTGGTTCAGGCCCCCCTGCTTTTCGAGTTGCAACGACTCACGGGACACTGGAACAAAAGGTTCTTCTTCTTCGGATTTGTCCCTTAGACGATAGAGCGAATCCGAAGCTGGTGCTCGGGCGCTGGTGCTTTCTTTTGACTAACGCACCAACCTTCTCCTTGTTTTCTTTTTCTCCGAGCTTGGGGAATTCAGATCCCTATTTCTTTTCTTCTCTTCGGCCTGTCTCGGATCAGGGACTCGGTAGGTAATTCCTCGCCACCGGCTGGAGGCCTCAGCTCGACATCCTTAGATAAACCTGTAAAAAAGAAGTAAAGGGAGTAATGGTTTAACGTTAAAAGAGGGATCTTAATACTACCTACTCGGGGAAGAAGTCTCACCATGGGAACGGGCCTCCCAACGGCCCTTCGAGAGCTTGCACCACTAGCGCTTGGAATAGGGCATTTGTGATACGATACTCTCGACTCACTTTTCGAGTCGAGGGATAGCATTTGGGACCCAAGCGACGGCTGCACCACCACAAAGCACCAATAAGAAAAAGAGAAGTAAGTGTAAAATCGACATTCAAAAGTAAATCGTACTTACGTGAGGTATTCCATTTCTCGGGGAATGGCCTGCACTCGGCTGGGATTAAGTCTGAAGTCCTCACTCGAACAAAACGTCCTTGCCAGCCCCGATCCTGGTCCTCATCAATACTTGAGAACGGGGCTTTACTAGCCCACCGCACAAGCTTTATCAGTCCCCCTAGAAGATTCGGTGACTGTATAAGCAAAGAAGATGGTCGATGGTGAACGATCACCCATCAATTTTATTCACAAAGAACCGGAAGAGGATCATGATCCTCCAGAGCAATGGGTGAATCTGGCCTAGGCACATGTTGTACCTTTTGCAGAAATCCAAAATGACCAGATCCACCGGGCCCAATATAAAGGGATAAGTGTAGACACTTAAGTATCCCTCGACATGGGTGGTAATGGATTCATCGGGGTCAGGGATTACTATGTCCTTAACGGCCCAGTTGCAGTTTTTTCGGACAGTAGGGAGGATCTCTTCGGTGATCGAGCAGATATATCTCGAGACCTCATCACACCGGCCTTCTATGGAGGAAGGCTTTTCGACCTTGAAATCGACGTTGACCGAGCATCCCCCATGGATAAACATTTTCAAAGGGAGTTCGGGTACTGGTTCATAAACGGTAGCGCGCGAAACGGTCTCCTCGGCCTCAGTAGCCGGTCGCGAAGTTGAAGGAGTTTCTTTCTGGAGAACGGTCTTAGAAGTCTTTGCCATTTCTTTAAAAAATGGAGAAAAGTCTGAGAAAGGTGGAAAAAGAAAGGAAGATTGAAGGATTAGACTTGTTGTCTTGAGATGAAGATGGGTAAAAATTCTTGCAAAGGGACTCGAATAACCAGGGTAAAAGTTCTAAAGAGTATTGAAATCTTAAAGGTACGAGGGTAGAAGGTTTGGATGTAACGTTAAAATGAACAAAGGAGGGGGTATTTATAGTTCATCGACGTTTTGCATCCAGGGACGGCCGACCGGCGGCTGACATGCATTTAATGCTATTAAGAGTTGACTGGCGAGACGTTTCAGTTGCTTTGTCGTTTTTGTCATGGTGTATCGAAATAAGAATCGGAAGCTCATGTCGATTCTCATAGTTTAATCTCCGAAAAACGAGGGGACTATCTGTATACGGGTGAAATCGAGCTCATGGTGCATCCTAGCCTCCGATAAGATAAGCCAGGCTCGAGATATGATAATAAGGGACCGAAATCGAGCCAAAGTCCCACCGAGCTAGAACCCGGGGGCATGACGCCTGCCTTCAAGAATATCGAGGTCATGATCCCAGAATCAGTCCTAGCCTCGAACGACTTCGAAGAACGTTGTCAGACAATCGAGCATAGCCAACAAAAAGCCGAAATATCCGTGACCAACCGAATATTACGGCTGGAATCTCGGCATGTATCGATAAGGAACCAACAATCAGCGAATCAGAAGATTTTTTACCTTTTTATAGAGTTGTACCAAAAATAGGACTCTTCTACTATATAAAGGGGGTCTAATCATTCATTTGACATATTGTAACACGCACTCATAAGCAATACATTATTATTTTTATCCGTCTTTTAAGTTCTTGTTCTTTTTCATCCATACCGGTCTTTGTGAGTTCGGTTCGAGAGTGACTATTTCACTTAGGCTGAAACTATCCAACTCTTGTGGTTTAAATTTATTTGGTCTTTGTTTATTCAATAGAAACTTAATTTATTGCTTTGTATCAAGTTAATCCGCGTATCCTTAAAACCACTTATAAATTTAATTGTTATCCGATTTTGAGGGTAAACACCTATATCTATCATTCTATTGTAATAGTTGATAGGGTTTATTATCAATAAAACCTCCTAGTTTAATTTAGCTGTTCCTTCTTCTCTTCCAAATATTTCACTGTTCCATTGCAGCTGCATCAGATAACTAAGGAGAACAATTTGGATGGTAGGCCCAGAGAAAGATATGATCTAAGACTAGAGAGAAATTCACCAAGAAAATCGTACTCCTTATTAAAATTTTGTTTAAACGGTCAAAGTAGTACTTCTCGTCATCCTAAATCCTAGTACTATTTAATGGCGGCTTTTATGTTTCTGGAAAAAAGTAGTTGCAAGGAGAAATTAATTTATGGATGCTGCGTTTAACTATAGATTGGTGTTAAACAATATCAAAACTCAAAAAGGTTAGCTTCAAACTAAATAATATTTAGACATTAATTATTATCCTGTAATATTTAAAATTTTCATCAGAATACTTTCCAATTTGCTAATATTATTATTAATTCTAATATATATGCTTTTTTTTTTTTGAGAAATAGAGAAATATTTATTTTCTACGAAAGATGACTTTCGTCTTCTTCCGCCAAAATATAGGTGAAAAATCGAAGACGTCCATAGCAGATAAAATAGAGGGCACTCCTACTTGTAGTAATTGATCACACTTAACATGAAAGAGCTATAATGTTAGTTATTCGTTCGGACGAACTCGATAATTTTTGTTTAACTTGTATTAGAAAATTTATTAAATATATATAAATATTTTAATTACAGACTCATTAACTTAAAAGAAGATATAGACTCATTAACTTAAAAGAAGATATAGATTCCAACACAAGTTCAAAATTCATAAACGTCAAATCTTGGCTAAATTTCTGAACATGAATGCATTCCTTTAAAATATAGATAATAAGTTAGGATGTTGTCACTTTCTTAAAGCATATTCCGACTGAGTCTGGTAGAATCTCATAAACTTTAGGCCTTATCTCTTCAATTAGGCAATTACTTACCTCCGCTCTACTTTAAGAAAATTCAATGGAGTACACCATTATTAAGTTCATATAAAAATAAAATTATATTAATTCTGTCTCTTGTTGGTTCGCTCTATCTTTTTCTGTTTTCCTGCTTCAACCATAACATATACAAGAACTACATTTTCCAAGCTAGATATATCTAACATGACTGACTTTGTAAATTTCTTTTGCCAAGTTAAAGAAAAAAAATGATGTTATCCAAATAATAAAGAGAAAGAGCCCTAATGAAAAAAATGATTTACTATTAGAGTTGTTCAGCTAATCACATCAATTATGGTTTTCATCAAGTATGACTAATGGCGGCTCTTATCTCACGTGATGTGACATTGAAATTCTTTGACTTTAACACTAATGTCATATGCTTTCAAATTAATAATCCGATAAAGTCTGCTAACATGTGACTTTCCAATTTTTTTCTTTTACAAATTGCAGACTTTTCAACTCTTATTCCCTATTAAAACCCATCCATACTATTCCTTGTTTCTCACCAAAACCCAAAATGGGATACTCCACAACATTAGTTGCTTGTTTCATTACCTTTGCTATATTATTTCACTCATCTCAAGCTCAAAACTCTCCCCAAGATTATCTTAACCCTCACAATGCAGCTCGTAGACAAGTTGGTGTTGGTCCCATGACATGGGACAATAGGTTAGCGGCCTTTGCCCAAAATTATGCAAATCAGAGAGCTGGGGACTGCAGGATGCAGCATTCCGGTGGCCCTTACGGCGAAAACCTAGCCGCCGCCTACCCTCAGCTCCACGCGGCGGGAGCAGTAAAGATGTGGGTTGATGAGAAGCAATTTTACAATTATAATTCAAATACTTGTGCAGCGGGAAAAGTGTGTGGACACTATACTCAGGTGGTGTGGCGTAACTCAGTACGTCTTGGTTGTGCTAGGGTTCGATGCAACAATGGGTGGTATTTTATAACATGCAATTATGATCCACCTGGTAATTGGAGAGGACAACGTCCCTACGGTGATCTTGAAGAGCAACATCCCTTTGATTCCAAGTTGGAACTTCCAACTGATGTCTAGTAATAACGGTTTACGTGATCAAATAATGAATAAAAGCTTTGTCATGTGTTAAGGAAAATTAAATAAATACCAGTACTATGCTATGTGATGTTATCTTCTTACCCAGTGGATAATAATCCAATGGTGTAGCAAGGGGTGGATTTACTGTTATCTACTTGTTTTACATTTGTTTTTGGTGGTATTATGGAGGTGTGTATATGTATGTGTTTTGATGAATAAACAAAGTGAACAAGGTGATGAGTCAACAGCGATGTAAATTTGTTCTTTGATTAATATAATTACTTACTAGATACGTCTCTTTACTGCTTTTACTTTGTTTAAAATTTTTGCTACTAGCATTTGAACGTATGGTTTTCACAATTAAGGCTTGACCTGTTGATCAGCTGAACTTTGTGGATAAGTTTACTTTGACATTTGGTGCTGTAATAAGTTCATGCAGTACTACTAACTAATTGTAACGGGTGAGAAGAAAAATCGAAAATACTAGTAGTTGAAGTGCAATAAGGAGAAAGAGACCNTCTTTCGGCTGGGTAAACTTCCACTGTGTAATAGCTTGCAAACCATACATGAGATGTAAATCGCACCAGGCAAGCCCTTACGACAAGCTCAGACCCAAAGGGACAATATGGTGGATAGAACCCGCATATTCTGTGTGGAAATCATCGGCCAAACCCAACTGGGCCGCCCTTTCGGGACAATATATTTGGATTTATAAATTATAATCTTGTCTTTTTCTTCATATTTGTTTATTGTTTTGTCACATTTGTTAGAAATGATTTGACCGTTTGTGTTCTAATCCAATTTTCCACTCTAGGATTATTGGAAATCAAGCATATGCCTATTGATTACACCTAAGTTTATAATGCCAAACCTTTTAGTTTCTCAATGCTATTGGGATCAAAATTTCACTTACCCCCGAGAACTATTCTTAATTTAGTGTAGTATTAAAAATATTGAAATTATAAATTTAAGATCAGGTATATCTCAGACGTTTATCTAATAATCTAGTGAGTGCTAGGAATAAATGTATATTTTGACCTTTGTGACCCCAAGACAGCTTATTGGTTACTTAGTGAGAAAGTGAAGAGAAGTATGGATAATATTCAAAAAGAGACAAAGTAAAATCTTTAATCAACTTGATGGTGGATAACACACCAATATTATATGAAAACAGACAAAAAGTATTACATATGGTTGTAGTTAATCGAGAGGAATACAAGTTGATTTGTCTAAAGGGCTAGACTTAAGCAATACTTGATTACTTCTTTTGGTAAAGGCATGCATTAAGATACGCAAATTATCTCAACATTCCCTAGCTACTTGCATTATATGCCTTTTATTTACGAGTTTAGAGTTCAACAAATATATAATGACTATGTAAAAACTACAATCAGGTTATTAAAAAGTCAACTATAAGTAACTTTCTGTGGAAAATATAACTAGTAGTAACCTACAAACCTTGGTAAATGACCTATTACAACAAGTAAAACCACCATTAGTAAATCTTTTACATAGTTTGTGTATATTATTTAAATACTTACTAGTAGTATGTATCTTAAGGTGAAAGCACTGTAACTTTACTAAGGGAGATGTCTTCTCGACTTTAAAAGTTGCTTTAAAAAACGTTCAGCCTCTTTTCGCTTTACACATGCATTTCCAAATTTCACGTAGCAAAATAATCATATTTTTCACCTATAAATAGCCAACTTATCCAATTCATTCTCATCACCTCTTCAAAAATGGCAATATCCAATGCTTCTTTTTCGACTCTTCTAATTTGTTTCATAATCTTGGCCTTTGCTTTTCCTTCTCATGCCCAAAATTCCCAAACAGACTACCTCGCCGCTCATAATTCCGCTCGATCTCAAGTTGGTGTTAGTGCAATAACATGGGACACTACTCTTGCAAATTACGCACAAAATTATGCCAATCAAAGAATTGGCGATTGCAATCTTGTCCATTCTAATGGACCTTATGGTGAAAATCTTGCAAAAGGGACTGGTTCTTTCACTGGCACAGCTGCTGTTAATTTGTGGGTGGCAGAGAAGCCATACTATGACTATACTAACAATTATTGCACTGGCGGAAATCAGTGTCTGCATTATACTCAGGTGGTTTGGCGTAACTCGGTTCGAGTTGGTTGTGCTAGGGCTCAGTGCAATAATGGATGGTGGTTTGTTATTTGCAGCTATGATCCTCCTGGCAACTACGTTGGTCAACGTCCTTACTAAATATTTCTCAAGGACTAAGAGTTTGATTAAATAAGAACATGATCATTAGAATGTGATGAATAAGCTACTTAAATGGAGCAAAACCTATCAGTAAAAATAAGTGAAAGTGATAATAAGATAGAGGTTTTATATATGATCTGTATTGGCAGCATTTAGTTTCGTTGCACCAAATAATTTGGAGTAACGAGCATTTGTAGCTGCTGAATTGTTGTCTTGTACCTGTTGTTTTGAGTTATTTGGTCTGAATTATATGCATGACAGAGTTGGTTATCATCGGATCTAGATTTATGCATGAAAACTACTTAACTCTATTTGATTTTGTTCGTTTTGCTTGATTTATAGAAAATAAATGAATTTTGATAATCAATCTTCTATGTTTATAAAATAGTTACATTTGACGAAGTAACTAACTATTCATTTAAAAATTCAATTACCTAATGATACTGATCTAAATTAAACAGAAACGAGATCAGAGTCCGATCGAACCAAAGTTTCTGTAATTTGTCATGAATGAACGGCCAATTAGGGCTTATAACAACATCCGGGATTTCAAGAGAATGGGTGCACTATGAAGAGGTGGATCTAAAAATTACATTTGCCGGGTTTAACTTTAGTCTCTTATCATGAATCCACTACACTTTTGAAATTATAGGTTTAAAATTATATTTTTTTTGAAATTTTAGTAATTTTCACACACACACATAATGGGATGTGAACTTCCAAATTCACTTGGAGAGGTACACCCAATAATAATTGTACTATAAGAGTCTTTGAGAATAGGTTCGCGCACATACATTTAAGTAATTTAAAAAAATATATTATTATACATGGTTTAGGGAAAAGAGTATTAGTTCACGTGAACGCATATCCCTCAACTTGAATACGCCTATGATAACAACTTATGCAAAAGTGTTGCATGCATCATGCATGTTGTGGGGTATGTGATATTGTCACGACCCAAAATCCAACTAGTCGTGATGACACCTAACCCAACCCGCTAGGTAAGCCAGTTAACCACTAACCAATTTCAATAATAATAAATAAAGCAATTAAGTAAAAAAATTATCTGAATCTTATACATTTCCCAAAAACTGGTAGTACAAATCATGAGCTTCTAAGAATAAAATTTACAAAGCAGAAATGAAATAAATACATCGTCTATTTGAAAAGTACATAAACAGAGTTTTACAGATCTAAAGCTACCACGAACAAGAAGCAGCTACAATCGGGACGCAGGTACATCTTCAATCCAGCTCCCATCGAGCACAACAACATCAGCAACCAACATCTGCACGTAAGGTGCAGAAGTGTAGTATAAGTACAACCGACCCCATGTACTCAATAAGTAACAAACCTAACCTTAGGTTGAAAATAGTGACGAGCTAACACAAGGTCGGGTCAAATACCAATATCCCACAACACAATACAAGTAATAAAAGATGTATCTCAGAAGTAAAATGCTCAGCTCGTTCACAATTCTAGGAAAATAGTCATGCTTTTCAAGTATCTTAGTGAAAACCCGTTTACCGAAAATGCCAAAAATACGAGTAAGTTTGAAAACGGTAATTTTTTTTTTCCATATATCCTTTCCACATTAAATAAGATGTTTCATTCTCTTTTCAGATATCAAGTGTGAAATACCTCTCTATGCCCACATATCAATGTGTGTAAAAAGTCATGAATGACGTGATACCGTACAACATGAGGAAAAATACATCTCTATACATGTATGTCATGTGTGCATGCCAATGCCATGTATCTCAGAGATGAATCATGTATTCGCACTCACTGTCTCACACTTTTCACTCATCATGCTCAAATACTCGGTACTGTATATGGCCCATACGGCCCGGGGAAGATCCATACCGGAATATATACATCACTGACCATCAGTCACTCAGTACCGAGGAAGGCCAATTCGGCCCCATGGAGAAGATCCATCTCCAGGTATATAAATGCTTCGGACAAGATCCATGTCCAGAGAAGATCCATCCCTCAATATAATCGACCGCGCTCACTGGGGGTGTGCAGACTCCGGAGGGGCTCCTACAGTCCAAGCGCTATCATAAGCCAGATCCAAGCATAAATCAATATAGCATGTTGCGGTGTGCAGCTCGATCCCATAATTATAATCATTATAACTTGCTGCGGCATGCAACCTGATCCCAAAATATCACTCTCACTTGGGCCCTCGGCCTCACTCAGTCATCAATCTCTCCAGTCTCACTCACGTGCTCACAATATCATAAAACTATAACTAGCCCGACAACAATGATATGATGTATCAATAAATAATAACTGAGACTGAGATATGGTATGAATGAATGGATATGACTGAGTATGAAATATCAATAAAATCAGTGAGATGATAGTAAGAAACGACCACTATGGGTCCAAACAGTATCGGCATAATGCCTAAGCATGATATCTAGCATGATTGACAGCTTAATTACTACATCATATGACGAAAATACGGATATCAACAAAGTAGGACCATTGTACAGTGCCATGGAAACAATAGAGTACCAATTCATATGGTGCACGCCCGTCACCTAGCATGTGCGCCACCTTAATACCAATCACATAACATGTATTTCGAGGTTTTATACCCTCAGCACTAAGATTAGAAAAGTTACTTACCTCGAACAAGCCAATACCAATACCGAGCAACCAAACGATACTCCAAAGATGCCATCCCGTGCGTTCCGACCTCTGAACGGCTCAAAACTAACCAAAAACAACTCAAATGCATCAAACAATGCTAAAGGAACCAATCCGAATCGAAAAGATCAAATCTTGAATCAAAAGCCCAAAATATGCCAAAAATCCAACCAGAGCCCGCACCTCGGAACCCGATAAAATTTACAAAATCCGAAAGCTCATTCACTCACAAGTCTAACCATACCAAATTTATCAAAATCCGGCACCATTTGGTCATCCAAATCCCCAAAATCCACTCTCCAATTCTCAAGCCCTAAACCCCCAAATTTCACTTCAAAATCTCACTAATTAGGTAGGAAAATCAGTGGGGAAACAAGTTTTATGATCCAAAACGAGTACAAGAATCTTACCTCAGTAATCACCTCAAAAAGCTTCTCCAAAATCGCCTAAGTCCGAGTCCAAAATGTTGAAATAAGACTAAAATCGCGAACCCTTGCTTATAAATCTTCTGCCCAGACTTTTCGCATCTGCGGGCCTATTGTGGCACCTGCGACGCCGCATCTGCGGTGAAAATGCCGCTTCTGCAGAAGTCACTTGCACCTCCAGGGCCTGCACCTGCGCTCCAGGTTCCGCACCTACGAACGCGCATCTGCGGCCCTGGCCTCGCTTCTGCGGAGTCAATCTCTCCTAGCTGCCCCTGCACCTGCGTCCACTTGTCCGCATCTGCACTACCGCAGGTGCGGGAAATTCTTCGCACCTGCGATCCTTGTCCTTCATGGACTTGCCCGCATCTTCAATTCATGCCACGCTTCTGTGTGCTCGCACCTGCGGTGCGCACTCCGCAGGTGCGGTTACACCAGTAGCAGCAGCTCTTCAGCTGCTTCATCAACTCAAAAAAAATATCAAGTTCGTTAACCACCCGAAATATACCTGAGGCACCCGGGACCTCAACCAAACATGCCAACAAGTCATATAACCCAATACGAACTTAGTCGAACCTTCGAATCACTCAAAACAATACCAAAACACCGATTACACCAGGATTCAAGCCTAAAGAACTTCTAAGCTTCCGAATTCTACAAATGATGCTGAATTATACCAAACCATGCCCGATTGACCTAAAATTTTGCACACAAGTCATATTCAACATTACAGACCTACTCCAACTTCCAGAATCGGAATCCGACCCCGATATCAAAAAGTCAACCCCCCGGTCATACTTCCCAAAAATTTAACTTTCGCCATTTCAAGCCAAATTCCACTACGGACCTCCGAATCACAATCCAAACGTGCTCCTAAGTCCAAAATAACCCAACGGAGCTAACAGAACCATCAAAACTCCGTTCCCGATTCAAATTCACAAAAAGTTAAACTTGGTCGACTCTTTCAAATTTAAAGCTTCTAGCTGAGAATCATTCTTTCAAATCAATTCTGAATAACCTGAAAACCAAAACCGACGATTCACATAAGTCATATTACATCATACTAAGCTACTCATGCCCTCAAACAACCAAGCAAAGTGTAAATGCTCAAAACGACCGGTCGGGTCATTATAGATGTGGTTTTAATTTATGTCTACTAACATTGTAAATCTTGTTTATTGATCACGCCCAACTATGCCTTATAAAAAGGACTAAACAGTCGATGCAAAAATATTCGGTTCAAGAGTCCGGAGTCGAATCCCATAGGGAACTAACCTATTTGCTATAACTTTTTAGTATCACTAATGATAAGCTCAGACAACTTTCAGAGTTCAAGATTTGATTTGTGAATTAATAAAAATTACTTAACTAAAAAAAATGACAATAAAAACTATGAACTAGCAAGATTGAGGTTGAATCAAGGATAAAAAGATCTAGGGTTTATGATTTCCCCAATTATCGGATTAATTCATGACACGCTAGCTATAATCTCACTGTAACACTCTCTAACGAGGATGAGTTCTTATCTGTCGCAATTATCTCTCGATCAATTACGATAATTTACTAGAAGTATTCTCTCGAACTACTCTAGTTGACAATTTGTACAACTCAAAAATATCGCACCAAAGCTTCGTTATCTCTAATCCTGCTTTTAAATTCAAGTAATTAATTTCTTAGTTTACTCGGAAGTGGCATTGTTCAACAAAGATCTACTCAAGTGTTCTTTATCAAGCAACACAAGATAACTAGATACGATTAATCAAGGGCCCTTTAGTTAATCACAAGAAACACATAGTTGAATAATTAAAGAGTAATAACGGCTCAATTATATCAAAACACAATCAAGGCTCCATCCAACAATTGGTTCCATCAACTCTAGATGACTGGTTTAGTTACTCATAATTGGATAGATAATCATAGTAATATCTAAGAGCATTAAACTACAAATAAAATGAAAGCGAAGACAAAAACTCGAGTGATTCGTGCTTCCAAAGTATTTCGTAGCCTCTTGCCTCTCTAATGATGTATAACCCTTCAAAAACTAAATTTAAGAGGTATTTATAGGGTAGGGGCAGAAATCAACATGTCCAAAACTAGTGAGGAATTAAAATTTGCTCGGATGGCATCGTCGGCGTGAGGCACTGTCTGGGGCACCAATATTTCTGTGCGAGGCACTGTCTATGGCGCCAT